CATTAGTCTCGCCTATTATGTGTCTATAAAGTTGCCATTCTCGATGTTCTTGTTTAGAACCAAATCCATCTTTGACTATGGCATCAGTCAAATCTCCTATTAAAATATAAGTACAAAATATTTTATTAAATTGATTTTTCTTATCTCAATGCAAGTATGAAATATTATATCTCTTGTACCTATAAAATATAAATTACCTGAAGCAAGAACAACTTTAGGTTGAATAGAATTTACTGTCACATTGCAGAATTCCTTGAACTCTGATAGTCTAGATGGATCCCTAAAGATACTTATATGTATGTCGGTTATCTAAAGAGATAGAAAACTATAATGATGTATTTCCATAGAATACAACTGCAATTCGTAGAACATTGTCAAATACCGTAAATACAGGAATTGACAAACCTGTAGGAACCATATTAAGTGGTTATATGAATCTTTTATGTTATAATACTTTGGTCCGATCCATTGTATTTCTCCGTTATTGTCTTCCGTGGTTTCGTCCAGAAAATGAGAGTTGACGTTGATCAAATCAGCTATATTTGCTATCAGAATGGAGAATATCAACATCAAGACCAGGAGAACAATAGTAGACTTCGATATTTTCATCGCTAACTCTGCGAGATCGTGAGTTGTTAGGGAAGAGTGAATAAAGTCTAGTCCTCGCCTGCCTTGATTCCAACGAACAGCCACCGCGAGACTTATTCACATATGGAAGGTGACGTGCATGTGTGTATCCGACGACATTTATTGACATTTATTGCAATTCATTGCGGACAAATGAGCATGGAGGAAGACGATCGGATCGTGTGATTTGGATCGCCCACGGTGTCTCTCGTGTTCGCTGTAACAACAAATGAAAAACGTAATACGACTGGAGATTCAGGTGCGATGCTGTAGCGAAAAAAAGAGCCAAGTTTTGTGCATAATGCACATAATCACGGAAAAATTGATTGAAGAAATTCAAAGCGAGACAAAACACCGGTTCAAATTCTACAGTCAAGACTGGTTTTATTATGCTTTGTGATTCAAAATTGTTTTGTTGTTTATTACGTTAATTCTAATCATTTGCTCCGAGACAAGACGTGCTTTAATTCTTAATAACTGTCTTCTCTCATTTTCGTTTCACTGATGATCGCTGATTATATTTCTTTATTTAATTTTAATGGCTCTTGCCTCCATCGTACGGTCTGTATGAAAAGAAGACTGGAGAGGTATGGTAGAAATGAGCAATTCAATTCGATCTTTTTCTTGAAGAATCGATCTTTCGGTCCTCGATTTTCGTGTCTCGATTAAATTTGCTGATTCTTCACGGAATAATCGAATCGATACTTCGACTTCGATAGCGAGTGGCGCGAATGCAATTATATTTTTTGTAGGAATAGAGACCCTCTCTCGCTATACTGGATCATGCTGTATCGCCTGTCTATTGTTGTAAGAGAGTGCAAAATTATAAGAAATTACATTAACATTATATTATTTCAGTTTGTGTCGACTTGGTGGTTTCAATATACTGTTGTGTTCTGAATACCTGTGTTCTGAACAAGTCCACAGAATGCAGTGGAGCTGATAATGCTAAAAATTATATATGCGACTTTTGTTTAAATAATTAATTTTTCCAATATATATGTATTATTTTTCCAAAGTTTATATTAATTTTGTATTAATATATTGGCATATAATAAAATATATGTGTTCTCATTTTTTTATTAACATTTTATGAAGTATTTTCATTGACATGGAATATTTATTTTATTAATTAATATTAATTTTATATTAATTTAATATTAATTTTTTACGATTTTTGCTTTGCGCACAATTACCTGCATGACGCGTATAAAGTTTTTTTCGCTTTTTCTTTTTTTTACTTTTTGCCCAATATAACGTTATCAAATGTTTAATATGAATATCGATAGAGAAATGTTTATTGCTTGTATTTCTATGTTTATATTGATTTCACTTTCAAAAATCACATCACAACACCTCTTAATTAAGCGCGCACAATTCCCCCACTTTTCTCTATATGGAACATTCCCTGATATATAAATATATTTAACAATTATTTGCTTTTACGATCCAAAAATATTTCAGGATATTTCTAAATATTCTTGAAATGTTATTTTGGGATTTAAGAATTTTTTTACTAATATTTTAGGAATATTTAGCGTTAGCTAGACACAGAAAATAAAATGGCATAAGATGAGACGATATATCTCTTTTTAGACGATTTTAGTTACAATCTGGATAAATTTTAGTTAATAATGATTTTAATTATATATTTGAAATATTTGAATTTTACATAACAGGCTATAATGTAAGGCTGCGTTCGGAAATATCACCCAGGTTTCCCCGAGTATCATCTTATCCTTGTTGTTCATCCAATGTTAAAGAAGGATAACACGATACTCAGGGTTACTCAAGTGATATTTCCGAACGCAGCCTAATACTATAAGTATAAATAGTTTTGGGTTTTGTATGGACTACTTTATTTTAGCGCGCTAATTGATGATGCGTCGTGCCATGTAATCAGTGCAGCGTGGTACAATACAAAGGTCGTTCAAAATTTGATAACTCTGGCATAGTATATGTATCTGTTTTTATATAATATTCATTTGAATAACATAAATAAGATTTAAATGATAGATAGCTTAATCTGCTATTAGATTATATCAGTAATTTTTGTTGGAAAAAACGCAGTTGATGTCAATTTGATGTAATAATCTGTTTAATAAATTTGCAATAAAATGCTATAGTTTTTGCAGCTAATATTTTATTTACTATAAATAAAGAGAAATCATTTATCATTCCTAGAACAGATACCATATATTATACTAACATTTTATTTACTAGATATGATTATATGTAGATGGCATAGGAAGATATATAAAAATGAAGAAAGAATGACATCGAACGACAACATAGATGTATTTAGTAGATCAATATATAAAGGTCATTATATATGTTGTTTTTGGCATCTGTTATTTGGAAATGTGCATGCTTCTTCTTAAGTTTTTGATTTCTCGCGATAAGAAAAATATTTTTTTCGTAGATTTAAATCAGCTTTCCTGTTCTATGATAAGCTAATCTATATTATTGCAAAAAACGCAAACGACTAGTTGAATGTCTGACGCGATTGATGATTGCTGATAAAACCTCGGAAGCAGATAATAATGCGGTTGATAAGGAAAAACCGACATCGGTTTGCAAACGGAAGTCATCATGTATCCAAATCGGTTTAAGTCGTCCATGAAGCTTCTTAAAGCTCACAAGCTGCATAGCCATCGGTGTGTAGCATTGATACTTTGTACGGTTTACTTCGTTTGTTTTACATTATCTGTCACATCGTGTAATTAAGCGGAAAGAAGAGAAACAGTTTTAATTATGGGAAAATTTACTATAGTGTTTTTGATAGAGCTTCTCTTCATTGTGGAGGTATGTGAACGTTATTTTTTTTGTATTATTTAATTCGATTATTTAATCGGAAATTTAAAATTGTTATACGTCGAGTGATATAAATTATTGATAATAATTAAGTGTTAAACGACACTTATATTAATTTAATTAAAAGACAACAATAGAGTAGCTCTCATTTTGTAACATCGGAGTAAATAAAATCTGAAGTTAAAATGAGAAAAAAACATGTAATCGAATATGTATTAATATTTTTCCCATGATTTTAATTTTAGGGTTTAGTTATATTCCACTTTTATAAAACGTGTTTAATAACAACTCTCTTCAAAATTAATTAAGATTTATAGTATCAAATATAATAATTAAATTTATAATATGGAATATAAATTAAATAAAATTAATTAGAAAGAGATAATACTAATTGCGATATAAGCAAAATATAAGTTTGCGCAATCAGATAAATTGTGATTGCTGAAAAATATCAATTTGTCCGATATGTATGGTATCAAACGATTATAATTCGAGATAAATTATATAACTAATTATTTTCCCTTTTTTTTAGAAAACAAAACATTATTTTAAAGTTATGAATTAAGATATTATCGCATAGAATATTGCATTATTAAAAAATTAATCTGTTGCAAAAATTTTAAATTAGATAGTGTAAAAACAAATTTGAAAAATAAGGCTATGAGTCAACGCAAGATGTACAAGTATATGCTAATATTACAATTTAATAATATAATTTTAGATACAAATGTTTCAAACTACATTTTAGATCATTTTCAGTGTAGAAGTTAATAAATTTAAAATTAAAATACAAATATAGAGTCATTATATTGTCTATTATATAAACATCTATATGATTGTTTTTTAACCTTTCAATATAATTGATAAAAGCTAATATATAATCTACTAATATAATCGAAAATTTTCGCTCGCAATTCCTCCATAATTCGTCTGGGGATAATTACGTTCTTATAATAAAGACTCCGCTTCTCCAAATGTCATTTTACAATTTCGACTTAGTGCCGCAATCTTATCATCATCTGTAAAATGTTAGATTTAAATGTCAACTGTATAAAATATTAAATTTAATTGTTAACGGTATATAAATTATAAAATTGATGTAATAGTAAATTTAGTAAGTAATTAAATTAATGTACCAGCCATACATTTTTTGAATAATTTCGCAAAGGTTGCGAAGGTCTACTTATTGTAAAAACTGTATATTGTTTGTTTTCAACGGTCACAAAATAAGACTTTATTTTAAATTTATTAACTACACTGAAAATGACCTAATTATGTAGGTTAAAACATTTGTATTTAAAATTATATTATTAAATTTTAATATTAGCAATATACATCTTGCGTTGACCCATAGCTTTTATTTTTCAAATTTGTTTTTAAATTATTGAGTTCAAATATACTAGCTGACTTTGTTAGATGTATTTTCCATATTTTTTTTCTGTTTTAGATTGTTGTCGGAGATCGTTTTCACGGATACGAGTCTTACAAAAAGTTCTACAATTATCGTGTTAATAACGGGCAACTAAAACATCCAACGACCGATTCTTATCAAGTGGAATCGAAGGAATCACATTACAATCCTAATAACGTGAAAAAAAAAGTGAAATCGCCCTTTGAAGGTAACGTGTGAAATCCTAAAACAGTATTTTATAATCATTTAAATCGTGATTCAAATCGATATAAAAATAAATCTTTTAATTTATAATTTAAACATTAGTAAATACATATTATATCTATTCTTGCCCTGGTGAGAATAATTTTTCTTAAAATCCTTCATATAATTTTTCAGGATTTTTCTATATAAATTTCAGTATTTTAACAAGAATAAAACAAATAAAGGACTCTTTCTTTAAAAACATTATAAACATGGAAATGGCATTGTAAGAGTCAAACGAAAAGTAAATTAACAAACAATTAATACATATATTCTAAAATGAACTTATAAAATTTACATAAATGTAACGATTAAAAAACAGATGTTAATTACATTACTATATTAAATATATACCCATTGTAAACAAAATTTGATCTTTCTGTATCAGTTGTTGCCGGTCGTTATTTAGTCGGAATTGGTCCGTTGAGGATGTTTGACGTGTTCCATGTATAACTTTTTATCTCAAGATGTACTTCGATAGTTTTGTAATATTTCTGACATAAGTTTTTTTAAAGGAAAAAAATTTTTTTTTACTGTTTTCTTATTGTGTGACATTTATCATTATGACTATTTTTGTAAATATATGGATTCACGGACCAACTAATATTCTCACGTATAGATTTGTAAAAATTTTTTGGTATGTTTTGCGCATCGTTAATTTTCATTCTTAGAATTTAAGATTATAATCTTTTAATTAATATATGTTCATTCTATTGTTTTTTCAGTTATATATTTAACTACGCACAAGATTTTCTTATGTATTGATGTTTTTCCATAATTATGTACATTTCAACGTAAAGTGTTTCATCTGAAGAGGACCAGATTTGGTGGTCGAAACTAGTAATGTAATTAACATCTGTTTTTTAATCGTTACATTTATGTAAATTTTATAAGTTCATTTTAGAATATATGTATTAATTGTTTGTTAATTTACTTTTCGTTTGACTCTTACAATGCCATTTCCATGTTTATAATATTTTAACAAGACTTCTCAGACTTTTTATATGAATTAGCACATCTTTTAGAAAAGCTGAGATTACCTTTTTTCTAATACAATATAAGTAAGAAAACCTTTAAATTCTTTAATACATGTATACAATATGTAACTAAAATAAGGGGATAAATTCTGGGAGTAAACATTTTGAATGAAAGCTGAATGGTTTCAAAGGTCTCTATTATATTTAATTTTATTCGGAATATATCTTGGAGATGTTCTTTTATAGGACATACATATGAATCTGTATGGATGTCCTCTGGAAATCTGTGCTGTTAAAGATACTTCAGATACTTATTTATAATTGCTGCAATAATATTGCTGAAACATTACGATGTTGCTGTTATATTATTGCTGAAACAATCTCTGTGTTCTATATGGGATAGCGAATATTGCAAATAAAGATGATTTTGGATTTTCAGGAGAATGGCAAATAAGAAATGGCGGTGATAATTACGCAGAAGTTGTAACACGTTGTGATCAAATGAAACAAACTTTCTGCGAAGATGTTCCAAATTATCCTCAGGAGTTTGTGAACCAGATGCTCGCTAAGAATTCTAGCCTATTAAATTACGCGTATGAGGATGTTGTTAGTAGGCTTATAATAATGTTTTTTTCTTGCAGCCAGCAAAATATTGATTAAAAATTTTTTATTTTATGAATAGCTTGCTCTGTCACCGCGATTTGATAATGAAGAGGAACCACTTTGCCTATCTATGGTAAAATCATCTTTAAACTGTGGTCTATTCTTAGGTGTTTTCCAACAACGTACACATAAATTATACAGTGTAACACTGTGTCACAGTTAGAATACTTTGTGTAGGACACAGTGTTATACTGCTCGACTGTAAAAAAAAACATGTAAAATTTGTCAATGTTAAATTTTTCTAAAAATTGTTTTGTAGCGATACTTATTTTGCAATATAAAACCGTCAAAAACCAAAAATTTGAAAGTTTTATAACTGAAGTCTTAATAACAATTATAAATCTATTATGATACGCTAAATATAATCATAGAAATAAGAATGGAAGATTACAATGCATTTTGGTATTACACTATGAAACTTAATTGTGTTCCAACAAGTATTATACAGTGGAACACAGTGTAATTAGAGAGGATTTTTCTATGGTGTAATGTTTTGTGTCCTAGTTGGAAAACAGCCTCAGTAAACACTATGACAATATCATAACTGCTAAAGGTGTGTTCCAAAATTCGATTCTGTCAGCTTCTTTTATTTTTATTTAATATTCAATAAATAACAAAGATGAAATGATACTCAGGTTGACAGACATGAGTTTTGGAATGTAACTTAGATTGGTTAGAGGGTGAAAAGTTACTTTTAATTTTTAAAGACAACTAAAATAATATTACACTTATATACAGCTTTTAGTTTTAAAAGGCAAATATCATCACAAGTTACTTTTTGACTTTAAAAAGTATAACAAATTACAATTATATACATGTATATAATAGTTACTAAAAAAATAACTGAAAAGCGGGGAATAGAAGTAACTCGATCGTTACTTGTAACAATCATTATACTGTGAATCTTCCATTGTTTCAAGTTATTTCTTTAATTTTTGGATCCTTTGTAATACTATAAGATTCCATTCAAACAGTTTATGTACGAGAACAAAAGATCGTCTCAACGCATCTACATGCACATTCAGGAATTTAAATTCGAAATTATACATCTTGCAATTCAGATATTTATATATCTCGCTTTTTTAATGTTGTGTAACAGCAGTACAATCATACAGATACAATTACAAATGAAATGTCTTGTATAAATAAATTCTAAATCTTCGTAACGCTCGAATTATTGTTAATGTTTTGTTAACTTGTAGGAGCGATTAATTCGTCCAAGAATGGCTATAAATATGAAAAATCAGTGGATGTACATCGTTCAGGCAGGTCAAAATTTTACTCAAAGTATACGTATCGAAACTTGTAGGTAAGTGCAGAAAAAAGACACTATAAATTAGAATTTTATAATTTCTTTAATGTTTATATATAATGTAATATGAATAAGAAACTTACACAGGATAAATATATAGTATATATGTATGTATAATATATATTTACATCGTAAGACGAGAGTAAATTAGAATGTTAAGAGAAGTATTGTAATGCATTTTATTTTCAGAGAACAGGGTGGTAAGTGCAGAATGATCGATGATTTTGCTGAGGGATACGTCACGATGTGCAAACAGAAATTCATTTATCGCGTGCTGTCAGCCGTTTCCGAGAATGGCGAGATCATTCGCGATTACTTCCGATTTCCTGCGAGCTGCTGCTGTCATGTTCAATTCCAAGCCATTGAAGAAAAAGCGAGAATAAGATCGTTTTCATAAGATATCTTCCGACTTTGACTTATAAGAAATATGTATAAGAATATATATTTAAGAAAATATGTTAATATATTTAAATCTTTTTAAGTGGTATTATTTACGAAGAAATAAATAATTGGCCACCAGATTTCTTAAAAATTGCGTGCTCAAAAAAGATGATAGCTTTGCCTGTATTAAGATCCTTGCAGGACGTTGTACGCTGAATAAGATATTTTGATGATCTAAAAAAAAAATGAAAATTAAAAAATGTAAAAATCAAAATATAACCGTTTTACATTTGATTAAAAACATTTTTAATGCAAATATTATGATAATATATATATATATATATTATCATAATATTTGCATATATATAGAGGAGAG